TCATCCCAGCTTTCATCTTGCTCCTGTGCTTCATATCGCTTGTGCCGTCGAAGGTATTTTGAGAGCCAAGTGTATTTTGGGCTCCTTATGGCATCTGACATTTATATGGAATTACTTGTGTGTGTATTTTTGCGTCTAAACTGCCTTTAAAAAATTTGCGTTACAAATCAATTACCTGGTCTTCGGGTCAATATGATGAACAATTTGGCAATTTGCACTTTATTTGGTGGTTCACCTGTGCATCATGTAAGGGATGGTCGTGAACTCGTAAGCTATCGAGGGTATGGATAATTTCCCAGGTCTTATTGTGAAAGAAAAAGCTGCCCCACCACTGCAGGCGTGTTGCTTCCGCTGTCTTCACCAAGGATAAGTTGCTAAAACAAACGTTGGGGGGGCTATGATGCTCGGACTTACTCGTATCTAAGCGTCAGATCTTTTATTTTCTAAAATATAGGATATTGGGACATGTCTAAAAAGAGTCCAAATTTTGGATACGGATGGGTAAGTCTTTCAAATTCCAATTTTTTTTTCCCAACCTAAGATATCATTTTAAATAGACTAAAATCAATTGTTCCCAAAGAATGAAATAAGTATGGAATAACATATTAAAATGAATAAAATAGAATTTTAAGGTTTAGTTTTCAATTATAGGAAGTAAATTTCTAAGCGTTATATAAAATAGAAAACGAGGGACTTGATTGCAATTTTTTGCTTTGTGGAACACTAAATAGCACTATATGAAACTCATTTTCATTTTATACAAAGAAATCCCAAACCATCGATATATAGAGGGAAAGAAGGAAAAAAAGAAGAAAAGGGAAAGAAACTGAATGAAGAAAAAGAAGAGAACCTAGTCCCACCACCTTCTTCCACCCTCTCGGCAGTGGTTCTAGGTTTACAGAGAGTAGAAACGGGAAGAAGAGAAGCGAAATAAAAAAAGAAATAAGTAAAAACGACGAAGTATCCGGAGGATCCGACACATCACATGTCCATACCCATGTCGTATTGTGTTGTGTTGACAAGGGTGCTTCGTTCATTTCAAAGATTCCGAAAATCATAGGTGGGGGTGGGGGGGATCGACCTGTTCAGTAGAATTCCTAAGAAAGACTATTGGCAGAAGGTGGAGACATTTTTTGTCCACTTCCAGAGGAAATGCAGGTAGAGGGTTCAAATGATTTTTCATGATTAAAGGGACAATATTTCGGGCCCGTAAATCACTTGATACTATTTAAAGTCACTTTTCTTTGATTTTAAACATTCATGTTTTTAAACATAATGTAGATCCTAAACACATGCTTAGTCTTTTTAGCATATTTTCTAGTAGTTATTTCAACACCGCGCCCCTGTTTTGCCCCCCCATTATTACTCATTAAATTATAATTCATTTTTTCTCTCTTCTTATCAACCGTACATTCTTCAATAAAATAATATTACACGTAAACCTTAAAAACTTTTCCTTCTTTCTAACCACACATTTTCCAAAAAATTACTATTCTTCTTATTATAATGTGGAATAATGGGGCCAAATGGGCTCTACGTTTCTGGAGGTCATTGTCCATGGCCATTATTTTTTAGATGGATTCTTTCAAACCTACTTTTATAATGTGGTTGGAATTAATAAAAATACAATTCCTATTTGAAAAGCTATTTGTCTTAGTATTTTAGTTGAGAAGCAATTGTCTCCTGTACTGTATATCATTTTAACTAGCTAAGATAACTCAATAATTGTTAATTTTGGTATTGAATTGTGTCATGGCATATTCAATGTATGTATCCAACATATGTAAGTAACATTAACTTTTGCAATTCAAAGATGAACCTAATTTCTCTCTATTTATAGGTCCATTAAAATTCAACGTTTCCGAAGGTTTTGATGGTAGCCTGCCCACTTTGTACCTAAATCCATATTCATGGACCAAGGTTTACAACATCTCTCACTCTCCATGCAAAGACATATTATTTACTTTATGTTAATAATAATTATTATTATTTTTTTCAGACTTCCAGTTTTATATTCATAGATTGGCCTGCTGGAATTGGATTTTCCTATTCAAATGTGTCCGGAAGTTACTTATCCTCTGACACCAAATCAGCAAAAGATAATTACGCATTTCTCAGAAAGGTAGGCTTGTGTAATCATTAATTATTCATATATAGATGGCAATATTTATAACCAGAAATTAATTAATTCAAATTTTCATCCCCACACAAATATACTTGTTTTTTGTTTCTAGTGAAAGCTTGTGAAAAAAAAATGAAGAAGAAGAAGAAAGAAGCTAACAATATAATGATAATTCATACAGTGGTTGTTGAAGCACCCCACATTTATCAAGAATCGTTTATATATTGCGGGTGATTCCTATGGAGGAAAAATGGCTGTCTTGGTTGCCAACGAAGTATTAAAAGGTACGTAGTAGATGTAAGAAAAAAATAACTTATAAGAGATTAGTCGGTCTTCAAAATGAGCTAGATTAAGTTGTTTTTTGACGGTATTGCAGGTAATGAAGCAGGATTGTGGCCACAAATGCTCCTCCAAGTGAGTGATTGTATTTTTTATGACTTGTTTTAGTCTTTCCAAGAGAATGATTTGGAACTTATTTGTTCGCTATATTTTATTTGATTATGCTATATATTTCATGTTAATTGAAACAGGGACTCATCCTAGGTAATCCATTTGCTACTACACTGAATTCGACTTATAGCGATCGAATTCCATATGCTCACCGTGTGACACTTATATCAGATGAATATTATGAGGTAATAATTTTTCTTGATTCCATTTACTCCACACGTTAAACTTCTCTCGAAGAATCTATGCTAAAACCCTGCATTTATTTATGAAACTTTTGAGACATTTTCAGGCTGCCAAAAGTAGTTGTGATGGTGTATATTACAATCCTGATCCAAACAATTTGGAATGTGTTAATGTTCTTCAAGAGATCCAAAAGGTAATATTTACATCTCATTTTTATATTTTATTTTTCATGTCCTTTTAACATATATCGTTGCATAAAAACTGAAAAGGGTGCGGCTGGCACATGATTAAACTGCAGTGTGTCAATGACATAAATCCAGCACATATTTTGGCACCAAAATGTAGTAGTGACTTTGCGCCTAAACCGGACGAGTTTAGACGGGATCGAATAATCATGGAAAACGATGCACTCAACCACCTTTACCTCCCATCTCAAGAAGAGAACGCATGCTTAGTAACTAATTCATCCCCCTTTCTTTATATTTGCATATGTCATCCTCTTTTGAATAATGTAACTAGAGATTCCCTTATGAACATGTTTCTTGTGTGCAGCTACAAAGTAATGCACCATCATATGTCTGGGCAAATAATCCAAGTGTCCAAGAAGCTCTTCATGTCAGAAAGGTACATTGAAAAGAATTAGGATTTAGAATAG